AGAGCAGTTGGAAGCACTCCACCGGCTTTCTGAGCCTGCACAAATCAAATAACTCCATAAATGCTTAGTGTATGTAACTACTAAAATTTATCAGTATCATTATATACCATTAATTATTACCATTTTTTTGCATGCTTTGATGCAGAGATAGAACCTTGGAAGTGTGACGGCTCAATTGGATTAGACAGGGAGCCGCCCTTCCTGTTCTTCTTTTCTTTTTCTGACCTCTCCAGAAATACCGGGATCCTTTCTTTTCGCCATAATTCGCTCAAACATAGACTCTCCCATCCATCTGGGAACTGACTTGTTTCTGACCAAAACATTGTATGTAATCTCTTTCAGCCTGTTATGTGCCTTCTTTTCATACTCCTTCTTCACGAGGGCATCAAGATCGGCATTCCAAAGGTATTGTTTCTGCAAACAAGAAAAATAAAATTTATAATAATTTATTGTAATAAGTAACCAAAAAACAACAAAGTTAGATGAGTAAACTAAACTTGGGGGTTTTATAATACCGTAAACGAGTTCCACCAGTGGGTCTTAGTAACCTTGTCAACCATTTCATAGTTAAGCCATGGTTCGCGCCAATGTGCTTGAAAAATATTTGTAATGGAGGTGCTCACGGTGTTATCATCGAACCTTTGTACCAATAAGTAAACAAATGAAGTCATTACATACAAATCTAACCAAGATTGTTCAAGTTGGAATGTAAATTAAGATAACCATGAGTAACTTACCATAACACCGTCGGGTGCAAAGTCCTCGCAACGGGGGTAGGAACCTCACCCATGGGAGAGTTACCGTCTTGCGTCTCAGGAACCTGAGTAGATGTCCCAGAACCACCTACACATGGCTCAGGGGATGGGGTAACTTCCTGAGAAGTTTCCGTATTTGCATGGCTTGTCGACGGAAACAATTCTCTCGGGGTGGCATGTCCCAGCTTCCGACGACCACCACAGTCCATGACAACCTACAATAAGAAAAACATTATGAACATCGGTAAAAATAATATAGCCATGTTATATCACGATCTATAAGTTACTGTCACACATAACCTTGGCTTTGCAAAATATAAATAATAACATATTTACACAAGTATATCACATTGAAACTAGGATGGTCTTTTAAAATTAATTGAAATCCATTAAGATTACATAATTAAAAAGTCAAAACAAGGTTACAATCAATCTCCTAAATCTCAGTTGAATCATCCTCCCCATCAGCACTAAGATCATCATCGGTATCGTCATCCCAAAATCTGTCATCCTCATCCTCGTCCTCACTATCAGTAGATTCAAAACTGGACTCTTCTGGAGGGGCATCGGGCAACACTTCATTTTCAGTATTCGAATCTCCAAAACCATCTTCATCACCTTCATAGTCCGGAATGTCATCCGGAGCACAAAGAGTTGGAATGTCAGCACTGGTTTCTTGTAGAAAGTCTTCGTCAACTGGTGCATCAACAACAGACCTCGCCTTTGTCTTGAACACTGCCCACCATTGAGCCTTGTCTCTTTTCAGACTTGGGTAAGGTGCATAGTAGACTTGGTTTGCTTGGTAAGAAAGCACAAATGGATCGTACTTGGGGTATTTTTTTGGTATGATTGACTTCTACAAGCTTGTATTGATCAATGTTCATACCCCTAGTGGAATCCATCCAACTGCACTTGAAAAGAACAGTCGTATAAGTCCGTAGGGCACCAGTGAACTCCAACTCGATGATATCCTCTAGAAAACCAAAGTAATCACCACCATCTTCATTGGATACGCTTACTCCATAATTCATTGTTGACTTATGTTTTCCATGGCCATAAGTTTGGAATTTGTATCCATTCACATAGAATTGGCTCCAAGTACGCACTCGCTTAGATGGGCCCATAGCCAAAGCAAACAATATTTCATCATTTGGCTTTTCTTGAATCACTTGCTCATATGGCATAATTATATAAATAAATTGATATTAGTCGTGAAGTTATAGAAACAAAGTAAGAAAACGTGTTGATGTCAAATGCGTATCATACTCACTTTCAACCTAAACCACTCGAGGAATTCAGCTTCATGTTTAATCCACACATCTTCTTTGCGAATAGTGGGTTGCATTTGAACAATGTGGTCCTCAAACCCCCTTCCATATAACCAAAGAAAGAGTATTAATGAAGGTGGTCGACATTGGATATGATGTAAAATGCAATGAAATCTTAGTGAGTATGATAATTTACAAATTTAATACCTCTCATATGGTTCCAGAATACCGCTATTTCCCAAAACATATAAATGAGAACGTTGTAGTTCTTTTTCATCCAAATAGAAACGAACTCCACCAGTAGAAGCATGTCCATGATCAACCCTAAAAAGTTCTGGAACACTATCATCCAAAGTGCTTTCAACATCATCATGAACATTACGACCTAAGTCCCGTGTTTTGGTATCCACTCCTTGTTGGAAGTAGTTAGAGCAAAAGTACCCTATCTCTTCCGTTAGATAAACATTGCATATTTAACCTTCCACACGAGCCTTATTGCCAATTTTACATTTCAAATGATTAAGGAACCTATTTTTTTTGTGTTTCTTTCCACTATAGAATGGCTTTGCTTTTGTCTCTTTTTCTTTCGATGATGGGAAGAATTCAATCATATGATTGCACGATAACTCCCTAGCGAGGGCCTCCTCTACTCACTCTGGTGCCTTCATCCCCTTACCAGAAAATGAAGTATGAGATCGTTCTTGGTTTGCTCTTCGCCTCTCGCTCTTTTTCGTATTAAATAAGTTATATGTTATGCAAACAACTATAGGTGTATAAACGAAAATGGCAGCTATGAGTTTGTAGGAGCTTAAACCTTTCAAACGGATACATCCAACGATATTGGACAGGACCACATAACCTAGCTTCATAAGGCAAGTGAACTGGTAAGTGTTCCATAGAGTTGAAGAACGCTGGTGGAAATATCTTCTCGAGCTTACAAAGAATTTCTGCAATGTTTTGTTCCAATCTTTCCATATCACTCAATTTGATGGTGGAACAACAAAGATCACGGAAGAAAAGACTAATCTCAGTAATAGCTTTCCAAACATGGACATGACAGTCGTGGCTCTTCAAACCATGAAGCTTACATGATTGTAAATCTACACATCTACTCAAATTAGAAGCATAACCATCGGGAAATTTCAAGTTCCTTACCCACTCGCATAACACTTTCTTTTGAGCCTTGTCGAGTGAGAATGGGGATTTCGGAAAAGTGTCTTTGCCTCTCGCATCCTCCGTCACATGTAGTTGTGGTCGTTTGCAATATTTGGCAATGTCATTTCTAGATGCAACTGTGTCTGAAGTATGTTTTTTCACATCCATCACTGTGTGAATTAGTTGGTCAAATAAATTCTTTTCAATATGCATCACATCGAGGTTGTGGCAGAGGAGAAGAGTCTTTTAGTACAGTAGCTCCCAAAGAACGCTTTGCTTAAACCAACCTAGTTTCTTCTTTTTCAAGCTTGCAAGTGCTTCTGGTCCATCTGTTGCCTTAGCAAAGTGTTGAACTTGTTGCCATAGCTCATCGCCGGACATTATGTGAGGTGGTGTCCCCTTTTCAACCTTTTTCTTACAAAAAGCAATTTTGTTGTTTCGAAAAGGATGTTCGGGAGGAAGAAATTGTCGGTGACAATCAAACCAAGACATTTTACCACCATGTTCAAGCCAAAAAGCTTTGTCCAAGCAATATGGACATGCTTTTTTACCAGCTGTTTCCCATCCAGAAAGCATACCATAGGCTGGGAAATCACTTATAGTCCACAAGATTGCTGCATGCAAATTGAAGTTTTTTTCTTTGCGAGATGTCGTATGTTGTTGCACCAACATCCCACAGTTGTTTCAGTTCTTCAATTAACGGTTGCATATACACATCCAAGTTCCCCTTCGGATTTTTAGGACCAGGAACGAGCAAAGAAAGGAACATAAATGGTTTTTTCATGCACATCGATGGATGCAAGTTATATGGGGTCAGAATGACTGGCCAACATGAATACTGACCCCCAAACTTGCCATTAGGAGCAAACCCATCGGTACACATACCAAGTCTCACATTTCCAGGTTCAGATGCAAAATCGGGGAAGGATCTATCCAAGTGCTTCCAGGCTTCACTATCACTAGGATGCGCTATTGTGCCTTGGACTCTTGGATTTTCGGAATGCCAAGCCATTTCCTCCGCAACGTTCTTTATTGTAAACAACCGTTGTAGCCTTGGAGTGATTGGAAAATAGATGAGTTCTTTTATTGGAACCAATGACCCATTTGAAGTCCTCTTGTATCTATCCCTTTCGCACACTCTACACTTATCCAACTCAACATTAGCTTTTCAAAATAACATACAACCCTTTGGGCATGCATGGATCTTCTTGTGTGGAAGCTCAAGTCCGTTAAGAATCTTCTTTGTATCATAGAATGTTTTCCCCATCTTATTATTGTCGGGAATCGCTTCGTTCAGTAATGAAGCAAACCCATTAGCGCACCTATGGGGCAAATTGTATTCCGACTTCAAAGATACAATTCGAGATGTCATTTCTAGCACAGACATGGAGCTACCTTCGTATAGTGGTTGCTCGACAGCCTTTAAAAGCTCTTGAAATACTTTTGCTTGAGCATTTGGCTGTTCGTCTGAACCACTAGTACTATCGTCACCTGGTGGTTCATGATTACTCCGAAGGGCATCGAGAACCATTTCACGGTAAGTATTTGGTTGCCCTACACTTGATGTAGGGAACCCTTCACCATGAGAAACCCAATCATAGTAATCAGGTATAAACCCCTTTTTGTACAAATGGAGTTTTACTGTGTTGGCATCATGAAGACGTTTATTCTTACATAACAGACAAGGGCATCTTACTTCATCTATGCCCGGGTTCTCAGGATGAGCTTCACAAAACCGTATGAATTGTTCAACACCATCCACAAACTCTGGCCTAAGTCTACGAGCATTACCGCCATCGTATCTATCGTATATCTACCAACACTCTTTCCTTTTCATGGTGACAAATTCTACAACACTATGAAAAACAAATCACATTAATCATTCACACTGAACTTGTATTCATTACAATAATGGCATACGATACAATTAGAATCGAAATGATATCCAAAGGTCCTTATCATGACTTGAACAGGAAAGCTGATTTCACATTATTTATTAAGAGATTTAAACATATGTTATGTCACACGCTTCTAACTTGATAAATAATTATAATTTTTACAACATTTTTTCTAAGATACTTATTATTTATAATTTACAATATTGATTAAATTATTTATACCTTACACTAAAAAATTATATTTATACCATTTCAAAGTAAATTGATGTAACATTAATAAAATAATAGAAGCAATATGATTTGTATACTTAACAAAGATGGGAGTTTGATAACAAAAATCAAAATATAAAAATATTAAAAAAAAAAAACAACCACATGTAACCCTTCATGAAAAACAAAATAATTTACAAAATACTTTATAGAACCATAATACAAATTATTGTTCAAAAGATTATAATAACCCCTTAAACATACATATTTCTAATAAAGCCATTGTAATTCAATAAGAATCATTTTTTTTAAAACGAAAACTAAAATTATCCAACACATGAGTTCACACCATCCAATAGTCCTACATTGGACATAAAGCAAAATAAATTTCTATTCCAACCAAAACACATCCAAGTTCTAGCCTACGCACAATAAAGCGTAAAAAATCCAACAATGAACCAAGCTATCAATCGCAAACTAAAATTATCCAACACATGAGCTCACAACTCGATAAACAACTAACATAAATATGAATCATATTGCATAAGTAAAAGAAGTAGATAAATAAGAAGGGAAGAAAAACACACAGCGGAGGAGTTGACCAGAAAAGCAGAGGCGGCGACGAAGGTGGTCCTGGTATATGGTGGGGTTACACTTTTAGGCAGGGTATTTATAAAAAATTTTAAAATGAAAAAAATAAATAACTACAGCCGACTTACCTAGTGGGGGCAATGGAAAAAGACAGAAAAGGAGGAAGGCCGGCAGAAGAGGAACCTGGCGACGATGGAGCTGCAAAGGGGGTTAATTTGCGACTCACAATTAACTATTTCAGATTAAATAACGAAATTAAAAAAAAACAACCAAAAGGTCAAGACTGAGAACATAGCTTTAATCAAAAGTTCAAGAGTTAAATTTCACCATTTTTGACCAAAAATTAGGCGAAAAGGCTATTTATACTATTTAAAGAAAATATTCAACTATGTAGCTTGATATTAAAGTAATTACAATGAGATAAACCCATGTATTAATACACATTTACGATAAGTTAGCTTATTTGGAATGCACATTTACCATGTCTAATTCTTAACTAGTCATTATGAATCTTGCATATTAGATAAAATCATGTACAAATTCAATAGTAAATGTCAAAGCAAACAAAGTTACATGGCTTATTTAATCGATTCAAGACAAAAATTTCATTACATCCAAACAATTCAATGTGATAGTGGCTCCCTTTCTAATCAAATTGCCACCCCAAATAGTATAATTAAAATCAAACTTGAAATCCACTTCGACATTAGTTCCTTTCTACTCAAATTACACCAAAGCAAATCAATTCAATTTTAACACAATCACATTAATCATCATACTACACCACAATCTATCAACAACAACATCAATGGACTTCAACATTTCATCATCAAAATATAAACAATTATAAATAAAAGAAAAATTAAAATTGGTTACCATTTAACTCAAATTAAACCAAATAAGACTTCAGAATAACTATATTAACCCTAATTCAATCAAAAAATGAATCAAACCCAATTCCATAAATAAATGCTTCATTAATCAATCTACAATAAGGTAATTAGTTCATCTAGGAAAAGAAAGAAAGAGAGAGAGAGAGAAGGCCATTAACAGTAAATAAATTTTTAAAAAATTAAAAAAAAAAAAAACAAAATTGCATGACTTACCAGATTACAGTCGACGGACGACAGAGGAGGCTAAGATAGAAGGAGGAAACCGGCGACTTTTCGCCCTGCAAACATTGATTTGTGACCCAATTTTAGGGTTTTCGCCCAAATTTACAAAAATTCAAAACAAAATTAGGGTTTTCGAACAAATTAACTAAATAATGAAACCCATCGACTTAACTTGATACAATCGTCGGAAAGCAAAGGAGAGACGGCCTGGAGGGGAATCCGATGACGGTGGTCTGCGTGGGGGTTGAATTGAGACCCAAAGTTAGGGTTTTCGAACAAATTAACTAAACTAATAATAAAAAAAAAATAGAACGGCATACCTGTGTCTTGCGTCGCTGGCCGGAGACAGGCGTCATTGGGAACAACGGCGGAGCAACGACCGTCGTAGCTGTTCTCCCTCTTCCCCCTTCTTCTCTGCTTCAACGTTTCTTTTCCCCTTCTCAAAATAATGAAACCCGATTTTGTTTAAATTTCTGATTTAAACTCTTACGACCGGCTCTACGATCGGTTAGACCGGTCGTAATTTAAAAAAATAAATTAATTCTAATAATTTTAACGACCGTTATAACGGCCGCAATTTATTAAAAAACGGTCGCAATTAATTAAAATTACGACACGCTATGAAACGGTCGTAAATAATACTAATTGCGACCGTTTTTTACCCCGTCGCAAGAAAACAGTCGTAATATGACCGAATTTTAGTAGTGAGAAACATATCATAACACCATACTATTAATATAAACCAAATCAAACCAAACCAAAGTAAACTAATATATCATATTAAATTAAACCAAACCAAACTACCGTTTTATATATTAAATTAAACTAACATATTTCTAAAAAAACTAAACTAAATAAAGATAATTTATATTAAAATAAATTAAACTAAAACACATTATATTAACATAAACTTAACTAAACTACATTATGTTAAACTAAACTAAACCAAACTAACATTGTTTTTTTAAAGAGAAAGGAGCAATTAATTAATTATAAGAGATGACCAATGTGACTAAATTAACCAAACTAACCTACATACATACATTATAATTAAAACCCAACACACTGTCTAATAACCAAAGTAACATACACACATACATTATATTAGGGTTTGTAATGTAACTAAACTTTAAATCTGCACTTCTTTTTAACAATTAAACCAACAAAATTGTACAAATCCTACAAAAAATTAAAAAATAAAATAATTAAGGGTTTATAAGTAAACAAAATTAAATTGAAAAAAAAGGGAGCAAAGGACAACTTACTGAATTTTCAGCCAATATCAATGTAGGTGCTTCAGTCACGGCGAGGGGACGGAGGTGCGGTGCAGAGGCTGCGTTGTGGTGGTTAAAGGTTAGCTGGTGGTGGTTTTTTGGCAAAATTAAAAAAAACCAAAACTTAGAGGGCAACACTTACCTAGACGCGGCAGTGGCGTCGCCGGAAACAACCACGACCAGGTGGTTCAGTCACGACTAGGGGACAGAGGTGCGGCGCAGAGGCTGCGTTGTGGTGGTTAAATGTTAGTCGGTGGTGGTTTTTTTGCAAAATTTAAAAAAAAAACAAATTTACGAGGGCAACGCTTACCTAGACGCGACAGTTGCGTCGCCGGAAACCACCAGGGCCGTCAACCTCTTCCTCGACAGCTCTCTCTTCCTCCTTCTCTTTCTCTTTCTCTTTCTCGTTCTCGTTCTCTTTCTCCTCTCTCTTTCTTTCACCCTTCTTTCTCTCTTTCGTTCTCGGCGGCGGGTGTGCGTCGACGTCAGGCGTAACCGTTGCCGGCGAAAGTTTAAGCGCCGCTCTCTACTTCTTTGTCCTTCTTTTTCTCTCTCTCCTTCTCTTTCTCTCTCTGCACCAATTCGTCTTTCCCCCTTTTTTTTAGGTCAAGCCACGAGTTTTATTTTTCAAAATTAACACAGAAATTCCGACGGAACAAAATTCCGTCGAAATATTAAAATTCCGATGGAATATTCCATCGCAAATTACTTTACGACGGAATATTCCGTCGGAATTTTAATATTACGACGGAATTTTTTTCCATCAGAACATTTACGAGGGAAAATGCATGGTAATTCAAATTTTCCGTCGCTAAATTGCGACGAAACGCTTTTCGTCGAAAATTTTCAACTTTACGACGGAAAAAACAGGTTCGTCGCAACTATTCCGTCGCTATTTAGCCTATTTCAAATGCAGATCTAACAGAGAAGCAGCCAACAGGGCCGCAGGGGAAGACGGGAACTCGGAAGCCAACACCTGGACTCGTCGAGTAGTCGTAGACTTTATCGCAGAGGAGTCAGAGGAATACCGGGGTGACGGCGTCTGGCGGCAGCGGCGAACTGGGCAACAGTGAGTCTCAGAGTTTGAGTGCGGTTGGGCGGAAGTGGGAAGTTAGGAAGTTAGGGTTTGAACTTTGAAAAGGAAAGAGAAAAGAGAAGAGGAAGCCTTTCCTTTTTCCGTGTTTTTTTCTCAAAAAAAATTAATTTTTTTGGGGGGTAGCACGTCCCCCTCGGGCCCCTACGTGGGTCCGCCACTGTATAGGAAGGATCCCTAGGTTGATGCTCAGGGCCGGCTAAGGGCTTGTGCAAACAGACCCTTAGCACAGGACCCCGTAATATTGAGGGCCAAACATATTCGGAGGCCAATTGTTAAAAAAAAAACCATTTCTTTTGAATTCTTATATTTATGCGAATTAGAGCTAAATAAAAACAATTATACCAAATTGCTAGAACTTTTTTTTTGAACGGACTAGATTCCTAGAAGTTAATTACCCCCATTTAGCTGTCAAAACTTCAAAATTTCATTTGTTGCTAATTTTCCGTTGAGGTTGCTCGTGAACTGTTCGAGCTCCGCTTGGTCAATGTTAGGCTCGAGTTCGGACTCGGCTCAAGACTAAAAGAGACGATATAAGAGCCAAGCTAGGTCGGTTCAAAAAGATCGCAAGAAGCTCGAAGATTTTTAAAAAAATAAATATATGTTTTTTTACGTTTAAATAAATTTAATAAGTTAATAAACATCTTGTCTAAAAAAAATTGGTTATAAGAACAATAACAAGAGGTCAACAACCCACTATTAAACTTTGTGACTTGGGTTGTTTGGGTAATAAGTTATGTGACGTAAATTATGCATTTCAAGATCGAGCTTATAACGACTCAAGCCAATAATGAGCCACGACCCGAGCTCCACTTTTTGGAGCACTCGAGCTTGGCCGAGCTCAATTTTCAAGGCTTCAGTTCATTAACAGCACTAGTTGGACTGTTGTTGTTGTTGTTGTTGTTGTTGTTGTTGTTGTTGTTGTTGTTGTTGTTGTTGTCGTTGTTGTTGTTGTTGTTGTTGATGTTAAAAACAAAAGTCATACAACCTACAATAAATTAGTGGGAAGCCGAGATACAATCTGGGCCCCCACTCCACTAGCTATAGCAAAGCCTACCCTAGTGAATATGTGAGTTGCAGCACGAGCCCCAATGTCTTGCGTCGTCGAGAACCTCTGAATCCGCTTTAGCAATGCAACAACCTCCTTCTCTAAATCCCCAATCGAAGAAAATGAGAAGGGAATGAAACCATATCCAATCGCTAGACAACGAGCTTCATACTTAACCTGCTTCCAATGAGCCGCATAAGCCATAACCCGTCCTGGAACAAAGTCAGATAGCCCTGTCTGTGTCAAAGGAGAAGACCCTGTGAAGTCGACACATACATCACGACCACGATCGCAAGAATAAAGTAACACATCGGCAGGTCTGAGAGCCCCGTCATTCCCTCCAGATAATCCTATGTCAACCTCCTTTCTTGCTGAAATCCCAGATCTGTAGCAATTATCAACAAATGTACCCCGAACAACATTGTGCCGATGTTTAGTACTTCCTCCGTTCTTTTATTATTGCACCACTTGCCTTTTTAGGAAGTTTCACAAATATTGCACCATTTCCTCTTTAGGAAAAAAATTATTTATGTTCACACTACAAATACCCAACATACCCTTGCTTTTTTACACTTACTTTTTAGTTTATCAATATGTCACATGGACAAT